CGCGTGTGTGTGTGTGTGTGTGTGTGACTCTTGAGCTGAACTGGGCTGTGTCTACCCCAAACTCTTCCCCACATCGGGTCCCCCAGCCGCTGGAGATGTCCCACGCTGGGGACCCGCACGTGGCCGGAGGAGATGGTCTTCCATCTGCTCTGAAATCGTGTTTCTTACAGAAATGCCTCGGATGCCGCCGCTGCGGTGCTGCTGACGCCGCCTCGGGTTTGGCCCTTTAGACCCCCTCCTTTTCCGAGCGCTTCCCTTTTAGGCCTCAGGGCGGTTTGATCTGCGGGGAGAAAGAGCAGCCATCACTGAGCCTGCCTTTTAAAATATACATATATATGTATATATATTTTTCCTGAGCCCCACTCTTAAAACATCTGTGCTCCTGAGTTTGCCCTCTGTCCTTTTCCCCTCCACCCTCCTCTCCTCTAAACCTCCTCCCATCTCTTTGAAAATCTTTTCCCCAGAAAGGCAGGCCTCAATCAGCCACTCCAGCTTTTTGTTCTTCTCACCTACATACCCATTTCTCCTTCCTACCATCATGGGAAAGCTGGCTCTGTTTTTGCCCTTTGTCGTCACCCACACAACAGATAGAATTTAAATATACGTATATGCTGTGTGTGTGTATATATGTGTGTGTAGATACACATTCATACATATATATATATTAACATACACACAATATGTATTCCTAGCAAAATAAAATCTCTAAGGTACTTGGCTATCCAGTGCAGTGCACTGGAATGAAGAGAATTGGTAGGCGTATACAGCTTTAAATGATTTTTTTAATGAAAATGTTAACTGATGAGATTATATCTACATATGTGTGTATGTGTGTGTGGATATATGTACATAAATGTGTGTATATCCTACACACATCTCTGTTCACATTTTCCTCAAAAATGTGGGGATTTTTTTCATAAACCCATGTTGATGAATGAGGTGTCTTTCTTCCATGCCCCAGTCTCATCTTCTCCCGGCCCTACCTCACCTTTTCTCAGGCACTCCCCTCCTCCCCAGCTGTCCTGCCCAGCCCTTCTGCACAGGGTGGCTCTTTTGAAGTGGAGTGGTAGGGAAGGTTGCTCTCTGACACAGCTTCCAGCACAGTCTTGACTGAATGTACTGTTCTCTATTAGCGTTATTTCTCCTGTGGTCAGTAAGCTGCCCAGAGAGGAGGAACAAAGGTCTGGAGTTTACAGAATGTCTGTTTTTAAAGTCACTTTATGCGTTTTCCGCTTTTTTTTTTTTTCTTTTAAGAAAAAGAAGCACCGTTTTTGTTTGTTTTGTTTTTGTTTTTGGGTGGTGGATAAATAATACTAAAAGGACTCTAGTGAAGGGGGAATCAAAGAGCAGGGGGATTGTGAATTTCCAGGTACTTGGATTTTTTGTAGAAGGAGAGAGAAGAAGATGAAGTTTGCCAGGAGGGCCCATATTTTTTCAGCTGAAGGGTAAAATCTTTCTTTGCAGAGACAGTATTTTGCTGAATACTTTTTATAATGTGATGATTATTAAAAAAAAACAAAAATTTTGGTCACTTCAAAGCTGGAAGGAGGAATCAGACACCCTTTAATATTTTTCCTTGCTCCTTCTGGTATATGCATGTCACTGCATGATAACTCTGAGTTTTCCTTTGTTTTAATAAAACTGTTCTCAGACATTTAAGCTAAACTAAGAGAAAAATAACTTTGTTGCCAAAAGGTTGTGCTATCCAGATTTTTTATATGTCTGCATGTTTAAAAAACAACAACAAAAGAAAATGCACTCTAACTTATGTGAACTGAGAGAAAAAAAATCAGGTTTTAAACAGGAAAACCTATGGGGAATGATATTTTTTGAAAGACTTTTGTATAAAGTTGAGTACTTAGAAAAAGACAAACCAGATGTAATATATTTTGTGGATGTTTTTATTTCTTGAATTTATAGTACCTTATACTAAGGTTAAAAAATATGCTTGATATTGTGAAAAGGTGAAATTCTTCACCAACATTTCATTTGCTCCTTTGTCATATTGTTATGCCAATATAATATAGTCAATGAAAACAGCATTTTTAAAAACCGAAATATTGAAATGGTGTAATGTTGTACCATTTGCACTGTGAGCAAATGCTAATACAGTAAATATATTGTGTTTGCTGACAATCAGCCAGCCTATAAATCTCCTTATTTTATTTCTTGTTTTCATGGCATAAAGTTTCGGTTTGGCCTGTTTTTTTGGTCTTAGTTTGTGTTTGGCTGGTAGTTTGTTTGATAGGTTGTTATGCCTGGTTTCGTCATTCTTGCTCTGGAAACTCTCAAAGTGGAGGTGTGGGACTTGGTGTTATTGGAAGTAAGTCAGAATTTTGTGCAGGTTCTGGTGTTTTAAATACAGTTTTGGATGTTTACTGTGGTTCTAAGGGAATAGGACTTCCCTTCACTCCGCCTCACACACTACCAGAGAGATTAAGTAAACAGGTTAGATAAATCATGGAAGTCAGGAGTGGTGATTGGAATCTTCTAGAACCTTCTCTCTGGTTTCCAATGGATCTTTGGGGTAGAAAGGAGGGGGGCCTCCTGGTTTATGAGCGATTTCTCTGACAGTCTTAGGGATCACCAGAACAGGACCCTGAAGGGCCTCTATGGCCAAACTAAGTAGTTCTCTTGCTTAAGCTTTTGAAGCCTGAAAAACAGGTGGAGACTTGACAGAGGTTCCTCAGGATTGGCAAGATAACCAGAGAGATTGGCAGCTCTTTTGTGGTCAGATAATTGAGAAAAATCAGGTTTTAAAGTTCTACAACTTTAATCCCACTTGGACAGGATTCTTCTAGGCCTCACTATTTGTTAGCTGCCTGGTAAAGTGGTCCTGACTGAAAAACAGCTCTTACAAATAGCTCGGGGATCTGAGGCATTCAAGGGAAGAAAGGGCATTTGGGATTTGGAGAACACACAGAGAATGTTTGTGTGGCATCAAACCGTCGCATCTTATGATTTCTATCTCCCGTGAAACCAATGCTTCCCCTACCCTCCAAGCTATCTAGAACATTCTTCATCCTTAACTCAGTTTATCTGCCAGTCCTAGGCTAGGGCTCTCTCAATTTCTCTTGTGTCTGCCTCTCCATCCTGCTCCCCTCACCATATTCTGTAGTCTTTTGAAACCTTTATTCCTTGAGGCTTGTTCTAGAGCAATCTTTGGACAAGTCGGCCCTCTCTCCTGCTGTTTCTTCCTATCTGCCCTCTAAAAAACTCACCTAGGCTTTTCTGTGGTACGTTTCGCATATGATCTGCCTTAGGGGCTTGGGGCATAACACTGGGTTCTATAAATATCGTGCCAGATCATGACTGGGGTCAGTGTCTTTGCCTCTGAGGTGCCAACCAGGCCAGCCACAATGTAACAGAAATGTTGAGTCCTTGCTCAGAAACTACTCTTGCTGCTCCAATGCAGGCCCATCACAGTGAAAAATATGGGTGGTATTTCTGGTTGGCTATAGCTATCAAGAAGTTGAGGCCAGACCTGGGTGGAGGACGCAGCCTGTGGCCTCAAAAGAATGTTTTTGAAGTGAGAGATGAGTAGAGAGAATGCGGTATGGAATCTTACATTTTCACACCCACACAACTCTAGGTCATTGACTGCCATCTTGAATTCTCTTCTCTCACCTCATGAAGCTTTCAGAATTCCAAATTGCAGCTTCATATACAGCCAGGTAGAGGTATCCATCTGTTTTTAATAAAGGGAACTCAAGATGGCTGAAAAGTCCTATTGATTGAGCATCTTGTTCATCTCTTTGATAAACTAGATGTTTCCTTCCAGATTTCTATGTGTTTTTCAAGTGAATAGTATTAGAGGAAGATACTGTCACTGGGTGTCTTCATAGTCAATATCCAGCCCCACCTGCATCTCCACCAATCACATCAGGCCTTTGGAGTTATACTTTCGTCAACAGTGTACTATGCTGCGCGATTAATAAACTCACTTCCCATTGGTGAATGTTACCCAACCCAACCTGGTTCAACCACTGGGTTACTTGGCAATATGGCAGTCCGCCTGGCTGGCACCAGCCCTGTGTGGTGTAATCACTGATTCATACTTTGTAGCTAGATAAGACTGTCCCAGATAGCATCACACCAGCTACCCAACCTGCCTGGATTTTGTAAATCTGCAGAGAGGAGACTCAAACCTGAAACTTAGGGATGAAATGGGGGGAAGGTGGAGAGAAGGCCTGGATAGGGCTCTCATAAGACGGAATCAGTGGAGGCTTTATAATGACGATGCCCTGGGGCAAAATCAGGCATCAGAGTATGGAAGGAATAGAGACACAGTTCCTTCCAAGCAATCCCTGGGGTGTTTGGGGGTGAGTGAAAGGATGCCTCACACACACACACACACACACACACACACCTCGGGAGTGGTATACTGAAAGTGATGACTTCACAAAATTGTTCTTAGTGAACTGGGGTTGAGTATAAATGATATTCTCGGAGAGAACATGGGGCAATGAGTGGCATATGTTTTTGTACGGTGGTGATGGAGATGGTATGTGGTAGTAGTGGCAGTGGCGAGTGTGTGTAATTGTGTCTGCACCCACAAGCATATTAAAAAGACTAGCAAGGTCGATTCTGGTGAATGAAGGCAATAGCTTGTGGCCAGTTGTTACTGATCCCCTTCTGCTAATCCAGAATTTGCTTGCCATAAATGAGGAGGCTGTGAGCTGCCTTTTCCTGGCCCTGTTTGGCTTCCCTGGTGTTCTGGAATAATAAGCCTAAGGAAAGCAGGAGGCCTGTGTGTGTCCCAAAAACTAGAAATCATACTGGCAAAATCTTAAGGACTATGGGGAAACAAATGATTTCTAAAAGTTGCCATGAGGTTT